TTTGCTTTATCCCTGTTATTATTGGAATCAATATTAAATAAATGTTCCGAGAGAGACCATTTTTGCTCATTGGTACTGTTGAAAAACACTATTTTGCAAGTTTAATGTATGAGATGTCTTCCCATATGCTTGCTTTTACACCCCCCCCACCCTCCGTACCCCTTTCATGATGCAGTCAGCTAGGCATTCTGTGTCATTGCCTCAGCAAAAGAAAACATTCAGAAAGCAGAGAAAATGGTCTGTCCTGGCATTAAAATTTCCAAAGGAAAAGAAAGGATTCAAGTATAAACAGTAGATTTGGTAGAATACCTGAGGAAAACTAATGCTTCTTGCCCACCCCACACTTCCAATGATTACATCAGGTTTTTCCAAACTTGGGTAGAAAGAAACATTGTCAGAGAGAGAGAGAGAGAGAGAGAGAGAGAGAGCAAGAAGCGAGATGTTAGTGTGGCTCCTTGAGAAAACTGGGTCTGTACTCTCTCCCAGCACAGGGAGGGAACAAGAAGCCAGGGGAGAAATGGCTGGATGGCACTTTGTTACACAGAACAGAGACAGTCTCACCGAGTTCATCCAAGCATGAAAAGGAGCAGAACAAACCCCAGGCACCTGCAGCTTAGCTTGCTAATGTGCAGGACCCTGGGTAGCCCCCGTTAGTTTCTGCTGTCCCAGTGTGGTGTGGCAGCAACAGAATAGTATCTGTATTCAAGGATACCAACGTTAGCTGAGAGCAAGCCAAACCTGAAGAGCCTCATGGTTAGAAATGAGGCAAGTGTCAGGAGTGACCTTGATGGGGCAGTGACTGGAAGACCAGAAAGGAATAAGGACCTAGCTGCTGACGCCAGCTTGGACAGACGAAGATCCACACCATATGCCCTTCCCTCCCCATCCTTAGTACTATGGAAATCCCTAAGAGTTAGATGTAATTGGCTGGAAACAGCAGACAATCAAGGGGACCCAAACTGCTTCCACCACTTAGCAGAATGGAGTCTCTTACTCGAAATTAAGTTCCTTTAGACAGCAGAGTTTGTGGACCAATATTCATTCTTGCTATATAGTATTTTCTTAGTTTTAAAATATACTAAAGACATAATATTGGAAACTCTTTACTGTTGCTCTTTCCATCAAGCACATTTCTTTAGAAAGAGATGCACTTTTAACTGAGTGTGTGTGTGGCGGGGGGAGGGGGGTGTGCAGGGAGAGGGACTTCAGGGTACTTTTTCCTGTAAATCTTTATGAAGCTCTAGTTTATGCATTTCTATTAAATGGCTAAAGTAAATACATACAATTGATTCTTTTACCATAACACCTCAAACATAATAGTTATTGAATAAATGCTTGTTGAATTGAATAGGGTCATAACCTGCTTCAATTTCTAATGCAATCGTTCCCAACTTTTTCCAATAATGGAGCACATGGAACCCATCATAATTTTCGTGGTGCACCATGAAATATAGGTATATGGAATTTCATCATATAGAGTAGGAATAATTATACCAGCAGAAATATGATTGTCTATATGTGTGTCCGCCATATAAAATCATGCCCACTTTAACGGTGGATTTATCAATTTCTCCTTGTAGTTCTGTCAAATTTTCCTTTACATATTTTAGGGCTTTGTTTCTAAAGGCATACAAGATTTCAATTGTTATACCTTTTTTTTTTTTTTTTTTTTTTTTTAAGCTGAGCCATCCTGCTACCTGTTGGCAGCTCAGCGGCTGCTCAGCTCGGGCTGGACTCGAACCGCTGTTGCTCAGAGCTCAAACTCTTGAGCGAGCTCTTAACCAACTGAGCCACTCGGCCGGCCCTAATTGTTATACCTTTTTGATGAATTTAATTTTTTATCATTAGGTTGTGGTCCTCTTTACCTGTAGTAATGCTTTTGCCTTCAAGTCTTTCTCCCCTAAATGAACAAAGCAATACCTGCTTTCCTAAGGTTTGTACTTGCCGAATTTATCTTTTTCTATTCCTTTCCTTTCAACCATTCTGTGTGTTTGAGGCATAGTCCCTGTAAACTTCTGTAGTTTCTTTTTCCTGTTTTTAAAAATTCTAAATTGATGCTCTTGCTTTTTTAGCTGGAGAGTTTGAATCCATTTCCATTTATCATGACCAATAATGTTTTTGAATTTTTACTGTGAAATAATTATAGATTGAAAGGAAGTTCACATATTTAAATTCTTATTTCTGCCATTTTATTTTATGCTTTCTATTTGTCCTTCTGCACGTTCTTCTTTTTTTTTTTAAGGTTTTAATTGGGGGATTGGGGGATGGGAACAGTGCTGGGGAATTGGGGGAAGGGGAACAGACAAGCCGCCATCCTTCTGTTCTTCAGTCCAGTCGTGGAGGATGTTGCTTCACTGGCCCAAACTGGCACCAATTGTGCTCTTCCCAGGCAAGGCAGATCAGTCGCTGGCTTCTGGACAGCCGCTCACTGCTGGCTGCTGGCTACACACAGTAGCCCATGGCAACCCATTGCAGCAGGGGCTGCAGCCTGTGCCCGGCACCAGAGGACAGCGACTAACGGCAGCCCAGCTCCAGGTTGAGCTGTTGTTCAGCATCTCAGCTGTAGAGGGTAATGTCACTGGCCCTCATATGTGGGATCCGAACCGGAACCCTCTGGGGTCCCAAGCCAGCTCTTAACCAATGGGCCACTCGGCCGGCCCCTTCTGCACGTTCTTAAAAGTCATCATGTACGTGACATTGACCATGACTATCCTATGCCAACTATTATATATGTTTCTGAATTACTTACTAAGGTGCTAATAACCCATAATTGTTATTAATTATTTTAGATGACAACTCTTTTGCCAGGTTCTGAGAGTACCAAATTTCCTGTGTAGGTACTGAGTATTTCTTGGGACCATAACATCAGTTTATTTACCTGCTTCAGAAAACACGAAAGTCAAATTAATAAAGAATGACACAGCTGTCAGATGTGTAGCTTGCCTGGATGAGTTGAGCTCTGGAAGAATTGTTGGAATTTCATAACATTATTCAATGTGGCCACTAGAGGGAGATCACATATAGCTTATCCTCAAAATAGTATTCTTGGTCTCTAATTTTTATTGAAAACCTATCAGGAGTATATACTAAAGAAACAAACAAACAAAAAAACCAAAAAAAAACCTCTGTACTTTTTTTATTGTGAAATAAACATTTTTAAAAATTAGTTTCATTTGTACAACACAGTGCAATAATTATATTTTTACCCCTCAAAGTGACAACACCCCTCCCCCAAACTGCCACCCCACTTCCCCCCACAGATATCATACATATCTATTACAATTCCCTTGACTCCACTCCCACACTCTCTACTTTTTAAAAGACATACAGTGCAGCCTCAAAATAGTAGACAAAGGAATTAAGTCAAAGCAGAGATTTGTCACGTGGGAAAAGAAAGCAAAACCCAAGTACATGAGGCCACAAAAAATGCACTGTAAAAGTAAAGACATAAATAGGTTAAAAATAAAAAGGTAGAAAATGATGCAACAGGATATTATCAGAAATAAAGAAGGTCATTTAATAAAGATAAAGGGGTTGATTCATCAAGAGGACTAACAATCCTAAATATTTGTGCATCTAGAAACAGAGCTTTAAGATACATGAAACAAAAATTGATATAACTGCAAGGAGAAATAGACAAATCCACAATTAGAGTTAGAGATTTCAATATTTCTGTATGAGTTTCCTAGGGTTGCTGTAATAAATTAACACAAGCTGGGAGGCTTAACACAACAGAAATTTATTCTCTCCCAGTTCTGAAAGCTAGAAATCCACTATCAAGGGTTAGCAGGATACAAGACCAATGTACAAAAATAAACTGTTTCTGTATACTAGCAATGAACACTTGGAAATTGAATACAGAAATAACATTTATAATAGCATCAAAAATATGAAATACTTAGGAATAAGTCTGACATAATAGATCCAATGCAACCCAATCAAAATCTCTGCAGGCATTTTGGGAGGTAGAAATTGCCAAAACGATTCTAATATTCATATGGAAATGCAAAGGACATAGAATAGCCAAAACAACTTTGAAAAAGCAAAACTAAAAGAACTAAACTACCTGATTTGAAAATATTTTAAAGCCACAGTCATCAAGACAGTATGGTGGTGTGACTCTATAACTTTTCTTTTCTAGATTTGTTTACATCTCCCTGTATTCTTGTACTATCTGTATCTATATAGATATTAGAATTAACTTGCCTAATGTAAAAAAATATTTTAATTGTGATAGCATTAAATTACAAAATTACCTTAAGGAGAATTTACATTTTTATAATATAATATTTTTCCATGAAAACTGGATGTTTTTGTGACTTTTATTCATAGTAGGTATTTTGTCCTTTTTGGGGGGGGGAGGTGCTATTTTAAATGGGATTCTTTCTTATATTCCTCCAAAGATTGTTGCTTGTATGTAGAAAGACTATTGGCTTTTTTATATTTGGACTGAATCATCTTAAAGAAGTCTCACATTGTTGAACAGTTTTTAAATTGATTCCCTTGAGTTTCCCAGGCCAGAAACCAAATCATCCATGAATTATAATCGTTTAAGTAAAATGATCTTTCCAAGTACTGTGCTCATTGTTTTTTTCTCTTGTTTAATTGCCTTGACCAGCATCACCAGAGTGTTGTTAAATAATAACGGAGATAGGCAACCTGTTCTCTTCCTGACTTTAATTGCAATATTTCTAAACCTTATTGAGCATGATATTGGCTTTTAGCCATATAGTGTTTTATTGTAGGGCTGTGCCTTTAAGAACTACCCATTTTATTCTATTTTATCAGCAATTTTTTAAAAATCAAGAATGGATTTTACACAACAATAAAACAAAATCATAAAGTTAATCATGAAAAAAATTGATAAGTTGGACTTCATTGAACTTTCCTTAATCAGTTACACCATGCATCAGTTTGCTAGGGCTGCCATAACAAAATAAACACAGACTCGTGATTTAAACAGCAAATTTATTTTCTCATAATTCTGGAGGCTAGAAGTCCAAAATCAAGGTGTGGGCACGTTTGGCTTCCCCTGAAGCCTCTCTCCTTGGCTTGTATACAGCGGCCTTCTCACAGAGTCCTCACATGATCTGTGTTCTAATCTCCTCTTTTTATAAGGACACCAATCATATAGCATTAGGGCCCACCCTTAATGACTCCGTTTTACCTCTTTAATGGTCCTGTCTTCAAATGCACTCACATTCTGAGGTACTGGAAGCCAGGACTTCAGCATATGAATTGGGGTATGCAGGAGGGCGGGGGGGGGGGGGGGGAGCATAAATCAGCATATAAAACACCATTAAGAGTGAAAAGGCAAACTACACAACCCATTTTAAAAACGGATCAAAGTGTGGACAGAAATACAGACTTCACAAAAGAGACTATATGCATAGTTAATAAGCATATGAAAATGTGTTTAACATCATTACTTACCACGGAAATGCATATTAGTTTGAATCATATGAAATCGCCATCTCTGTAAGCCAATTATCAGCATTTTCATGATTCAACCTAAAAAAAAGTCCCACAGTGATATACTACTACACACCCTGGAATGCTAAAATTAAAAAGACAGTGGGCAAGTGTTGGCGCGAATGTAGAGCAAAAGGAACATTCATATATTGCTGGTAGGGGTGTGAAATGGTACAGCCACTTTGGAAAACTATTTGATAGTACCTACTCGCGCTAACCAAGAGTCTACCCCCGCCATCCACCAATTCCGCTAAGACACAAAACTGAACATTAACCTTGAGATTCCTACAAAAACATCCTAGGGAAATGCTGATAGAATGGCCCGGTCAAGAGGTCTGTTCCAACCTTCTCGGAGAAGCTGTGTGGAGAGGTACGCAGTGAACACGTCCTCAGTAAGCATGTCTTCAGAAGACAGGGTGGCGGTAAAAAGGATTTCTGAAGCAGCACCTGACACGGTCAACCTGGGCTATTTCTCTGATTTACCCGGAGGGGAGCTGGAGGATTATCTTAATATAGAATGAACAGAGCTATTTTCAGATTCACTCCTCTCTTACCGTTACCTTCCCCTGCCAGGCTCATTTCTGGGGGTCAAAAAACCCCGATACCTCTGAGATTTGGAAGGCGCCTCAGGCGCGGTCCCCTACCCGGGTCACCAACCCCGCAGCAAAGGGGCGCAACCAGGTCCTTACTCTGGGAGGGCCTGTCTGGTGCCCGCACCCCGCTCCCGGCGCCTTCGGGGGGGGAAACTCGGGCACTGGGGTGGCGGGTGGCAGACACACACCCGGGGTGTGGTGGAGTGGTCTCCTCCCCTCATCAGTCCTTTCCGCCTCTGCCCGGCTCTTCCCAGGCTTCTGGAGAGGTGTTGCGGGGAGAGGATGCAGGGTGCTATTCCGTTGTCCTTGGCAGCCTCTACTCCACAGCTAGCAGAGACTGCATCGCGAAGCCCGGTGCCTCGCAGTGCTTCCCGGAACCATAACGGTGACTCCAGGGAACCGCAGCTGCGGGGACGCGACAAGGGGTGTGAATTTTGGGGCGAAGCTGGGTCGAGTAGGGTTGGAAGGTAGCTGGCTCTGATCAGAGGACCCTACATCTTCCATGTCCCCTCTCAGCCCGCCCGCGCCAGGGATCCCGAGTGCAGGGCGCGCGTACCTTCCGCTGTCCTAAGACGTGGATGAGACAAGGTGGGCGGGGAACGCGGGGCGGGAGGGAGGGCGCCCCCTTCAGTCAGCCAGGCTCGCAGATCTCGCGGCCCTCCTCTCCCACCGCCGCCTTCCTATGCGCCCAGCACCTCCGCGGGCCCCATCGCGCACCGCAGTCCAGCCGCGGTGCCCCTAGCGGTTCTAGGTGCGCGGCGCGTCCAGGGGCTGCAGGCACCCTGGCCCTGACCCCGCACCGTCCAGGAGAAACTGTGCCCACGGAGAGCCCTGCAGAGGTTCTGCCCCGGTCGGAGGCGGACGGGAAGAGCTGGCCCGCAGGTGAGTGGGCAACCGGCGGCGAGGCTGTGGCGTCGCGCGCGGGGTCCGTCCACCAAGCATTTGCCGCGCAGAGCGGAGGGCTGGTCCTGTGTCTAGGCAACACGGAACAGCTGACATCTCGAACTCGCTAAATCCAGGTCCTTGCCGTCCCTTCACCTGTCCCAGGGGTCCCTTCATTCGGTTAGTGAGGCTACCACTCGGTAGGAGGGGCACCCATCTCCCCCAAACTTAACTCAGCAATTACTTTGTGCTGCACACTGTATTAAGCCCTTTATCTACGTTATCACGTTTAATTCTTTCAGCAAAACTGAAGTAGGGGACATTACCTTTGTTGTAAAAGTAACTTGCCCAGGGCACTGCCAGCAGTGGCCTGCTGTTAGCCTCCACAAGAAGGAAGCTTTTAAAAGCCCCACCATTCATACCTCGTTGTGAATTTGGTTCAATTCAGAAATTTTTTTTCTCCTGTCCTTCTTTCTCTTTTTTGGCTTTCTTAATCACTAGGTATTGTGCTTGACATCAAGGAAACCAAAATGACTTAGAACCTGACCCTGCCTTCAAGGAACTTACAGTTTAGGTCAATGTGCTTCCTTTTGTTAAAAGTAAACTATAGTCTTTTCTATCAAAAGCCAGCAGGATATGCATCCTGCCGGCAATGTTAGCCCAACACTCCACTTCCTCCCCATTCTTAGCTTAACTGAAGCATATAACTAGAGCACCCCACTTCCCCATTTTTAGCTTAACTGAAGCCTGTAGCTAGACAGATCTTGCTTGTTTTATTAGCCAATCGGTTTAGACTGTAAGGTCACACTAGCCAGTGGAGTACGACATAGAGACACCTGTGTCAGGGATAAAAGTGGAGTGGACTGCCCGCTTAGTGTGCTTGCTAGACTGATTTACGGTGGCTCTGCACCCTTCTGCAGAAGTAAAGTTTGCCTTGCTGAGTGACTTTCAACTTCATGTGTCTTTATTTGCGACATGGTTAAACTCTGTTCTCAACAATTGGGTGCTCGTCCGAGATCTCTAATCCATTCGGGTGATTGCCCGGGCCTCCGCGCACGGAGGAGACGCGTCCTGCTGCCTTGTTGCAGTAGCCTCCGGTTGTCTGGGGAGCTCAGGAGTCCCTGAGCTGGCAAGGACCTGATGGTGGAAGTCTCTCGGCAACACGGTGAAAGGGCCCGAGCAAGCACTGCAGCGACCAAGTAACTCTGTGCATCGACCAAAGTAAGAAACATCACCGACAGTGACAAAGTATTTCCTTGGTGGTCATGTCATTTCGGGGTTGACTGAGTGTGAATGAGACGTGTCTGAGACACGAAGCAAATGTGGAGTCCTGGTCCGCAGTTCTGTCGGTATCTCGGTGACCTCATACGGCTCAAGGCAGCCCTCAGTTGTCTGAGTCCGGTGAGGGGTTTATACTGACCTGCCAATTGCTAAGAGGCTCCAGGAATGAGATATCATCCCGCGAGGGAGGTGGTCGGAGAGAACAAAGCGACTCAGGAAAGAGCACAAGAAGCCTCCAATAGGGGAGGATTAAGCCACTCTCACACCCAGAGACTGGGAGTCCGAGATGGGAAATGCTCAGCGTAGAAAAGGTTCTGATCAGACAAGAAATGGTGAAGACAAAATCCCACTAGTTTGTACCCTAGGCAGGATGCTCCAATATAGGAATGATAATCCTAGGACTAAAGGGAAAAAGAAACAGCAAATGATTAAGTATTATTGTTTTATCTGGACTCAGGGACCCATCTTAAAGGCATCCGTATTCTGGCCCAAATTTGGGTCAGATGAGGACTGGATTTGTCAACTATTAATTGAATATGTAAATAATAAAAGTCCAGTCGGTCAGGAGGAAATTGACTATGTCTTCCGTTGGAGAAAAGGGACCATTATCATTACCCTTAAAGACAGGGGTGGATAACACTATCAAGGAGGAAGAAAAAAACAAACCTTAGGATCCTCTCATTTGCCTCCCCCCTCCTTATAATCCTCAACCCCAACCTCCTCCCCCACAAGAAGAACAAGAGCCCCAAATTGAGGAACCAGCTGAACCCACTGCAGCGGCCTCGGCACCTTCCCCATCGCTCTACCCCTCCCTTCCCTTGTTAAGAAAAGAGGTGGAACAATACAAAAAGGACATTCAAAGTTTGCCTTTCCCCTCTGAAAGAGGAAAACCCCAGAGCCTCTACCCACTTCCGGAAGTTCCCCTAGGAGGAGGGGGAATTGGATTTGTTAATGCCCCCCTCACAAGTTCCGAGGTCCAAAATTTAAAAAAGGAACTAAAGCCTCTGTTAGAAGATCCACATGGGGGCCGGCTGAGTGGCTCAGTTGGTTAAGAGCTGGCTTGGGACCCCAGAGGGCCCCAGTTCGGATCCCACATATGAGGGCCAATGACACTGCCCTCCACAGCTAAGATGCTGAACAACAGCTCAACCTGGAGCTGGGCTGCCATGAGTTGTTGGCGACGGTGTAGGCTGCAGCCCCTGTGGCAGTGGGTTGCCATGGGCTACCGTGTGTAGCCAGCAGCCAGCGTGAGCAGCCAGCAGCTGCCATGAGCGGCTGTCCAGAAGCTGGCAACTCATCTGCCTTGCCCGGGAAGAGTGCAATGATGGTGTCAACTTGGGCCAGTGAAGCAACGTCCTCCACAACTAGACTGAAGAACAAAAGGACAGCATCTTGTCTGTTCCCCTTCCCCCAATTCCCCAGCGCTGTTCCCATCCCCCAATTCCCCAATAAAAATCTTAAAAAAAAAAAAAAAGAAGAAGATCCACATGGAATTAGACCAATTCCTGGGCTCCCAGATCTACACCTGGGCGGAACTCATGTCTATTCTCAGCATTTTATTCTCTGGAGAAGAGAGGGCAATGATTAGGAGAGCAGCTATGGCAATCTGGGAGCGAGAACATCCAGCTGGTCAAGGGGTTCCACCCCCAGAAGTCAAATTTCCCAATCAGGAGCCTCAATGGGATAACAACAGTGAAGCCCATAGGGGTCATATGAGGGACCTATGGGATCTGATTATAAAGGGAATAAAGGAGTCAGTGCTCTGCTCCCAGAACATTACTAAAGCTTTTGACATACAGCAGGGAAGAGAGGAAGGACCAGCTGAGTTTCTCAGCAAGCTTAAAGATCAAATGAGAAAATATTCTGGATTGATCCTAAAGAACCCACTAGGACAAGGGATGCTGAAACTCCATTTTGTAACACAGTTGGGCTGACATTGCAAAGAAGCTCCAGAAACTAGAAAATTGGAAGGTTAGAAGTTTAGACAAGCTGCTAAGAGAGGTTCAAAAGGTATATGTAAGAAGGGATAACGAAAAACAAAAACAAAAGGCCAAGATAATGCTCTCTACTATAGGACAAGCTACTAAGGGAAACGCCGGACCCAGGGGCCAAAGGCCCACGGGGCAGCCAAGAGAAACGCGACCCCAAAGCAATACCAAGGGAAGAAATAAGTGCTACAGATGTGGAAGAGAGGGTCACCTTAACAGAGAATGCCCTGAACTAAAAAGGGAAGAGAAAGTAATACCTCTTATGACCTTCGAGGAAGAATAGGGAAATCGGGCTCTTTTACAACGAGGAATTCTACCAAGAGCCCTTGATAAATTTAGAAGTTGGACCCAAGAAAGAGGAACTAATATTCCTAGTTGACTCAGGGGCAGCTCACTCCTCTCTCTCTCTCCACCCTTGTGGCTTGAACCTATCTAAAACCCATCTACTAGTCTCAGGGGTAAAAGGGGAAGAATTTACAGTCCCCGTCTTTGAAGAAACTCAGGTCACATATCAGGGCAGACAGACACAGATAAAGTTCCTCTTTGTCCCCGAAGCCGGAAACTAACTTCTTGGGTCGAGATTTAACGTCTAAGCTAGGAATAGGACTTAACATCACACACACACAAATTCAAGTTTCCCTAAACTTCCTATCCACAAAGGATGAAAAAGGGATACTCCCTGAAGTCTGGTCAAGGGAGTGTAATCAGGGTGGGTTAAAGATCTCCCCTATTCGGGTTGAACTTAAGGACAACGGGGAGACAAGTTAAAAGAAAACAATACCCATACCTCTAGAAGGGAGATTAGGACTGAAACCCATGATAGAAGGCCTAGTTAAAGATGGCCTCCTTGAACCCTGAATGTCTCCCTTCAACACCCCAATACTACCAGTAAAGAAATCTGATGGGTCCTACCACCTGGTTCAAGATTTAAGGGCAGTCAATCAGATAGTTCAAAGCAGACACCCTGTGGTCCCAAACCCCTATATTATCATCAGTAAGATCCTGCCAGAACATAAATGGTTTAGTGTAGTGGACTTAAAAGATGCCTTTTGGGCCTGCCCCCTAGCTGAGGAATGCAGGGACCTATTTGTCTTTGAATGGGAAGACCCCTCCCATACTAGTAGGAAACAACAACACAGATGGACTTCCTTCCCCAAAGATATACGGATCCACCAAACTAATTTGGACAAGTGTTAGAACAAGTACTAGAAAAGTTCACACTACTCGATCAAATTGATTTAATATGTAGATGATTTGCTACTCTCAGGTAGTCAAAGGGAAGAATTGGTAGATGTTACCATAGACTACTAAATTTCCTTGGTCAACAGGATCTACGAGTCTGCAAGATCAAATTACAATTTTTAGAAAAAGAAGTCAAATACTTAGGACACATGATAAGCAAAGGGAGGTGAGGGTTGAGCCCCGAACGAATCTCAGGGTTAATCAATACACCCTTATTAAA